GCTACCCAGCAAGACGCTACAAAAGGGACAAAACTCATAATGAGCATCCACACCGACAGAAAATATTGCTGTAACACAGACAGTATGAATAGTTAGAAACTCAGGTGCTGAAAGTGCTCTGAAGTACTCCATGATATTCTATAAAGTCAGTGGAGGGCATCTGCTCTGGTTCCCCTGTGTTCAGTCCATTAAAGGGGTCATATGATGCGATTTCAAGTTTTCCTTTCTCTTTGGAGTGTTACAAGCTGATTGGAAGCAGTTTTGTTTACTCTACAGACATCAAACATTGCAGTAACAGCTGAGACAATATCCACCATGCAGTTATTTATAGGTTGTATAATGTTCTGGGCTCCATCTGTGCTCTAGACTAGAGAACAATGCAAAAAACTTTATAATTATGTGCAGTTTGTACTGTATTTTTGTGTAAATGCAAAAACATTGTTATAATATTTATTATATTATATTTTTGCTTCCAGCTTGATTTTTAAAGTGAAAGCATTTAATATTAAACAATGATAACATTTATTATTCTTTTGTATTCATACCCATGTGTAATTACAACTGTTAGGGTTAGACAATATTCAACAAGCAATGAATGAAAATGTGTGTATACTTCTTTGACAGTTACTTTTCTAGACCATGTGCTACTGTAACTCTGACTTTCTCACTCACTAAGCAAACAGACCACGTTGACTTGGCCTCGAATGGTTGACCGATAAATCCATTAGTCAGCAGTAAAACTTACAGTTTCATACCAGTTTTTCTAACAATTCCATACATATGGGACCTTAAACTCAAGACTATTATGAAGCAATTACATTTTATGGGCGCTGTTTTTATACTGAGGGTGAATAAACGTTTGGAAATATTGAATTAGAATATTTATAGACATGTTGATTTGATTTTTAAGGAAAATATATTTAACTTGTGTGTCACATAGTATAAATTTCGCAAACATGTGATCTGTTATACATGTGCAGGTTCAGCTGTTTTAGAGGATTATGCAACTACAAGTCTGAAATATAACTGCAAGAAGCAATTACCGGGGTTCAAGAGCTTTAAGGCATTTAAGGCCATATGAAAAAAGACATGACATACTATTTAGCAAACCACCTAACCACATAAATCAATGATTAAAAAGAGCATTTTTGGCAATTCCATGTAATTTACCATAGAAATATGATGTTTTTAACATTTATGGCTGTTATAGCGCCACCTATAGTCCGATCTCCATAAAAGTTGCCATGCTTCTTTAGAATCATATGCTGCATGTGCTCACCTAATTTCGTGAAGTTCCGAGTTTTCGTTCAAGAATTATAGGCTTTTGGGCCACACCCATTTTCTAAATGACCCTGTTATAGCTAACCAAAGTGAAAAGTTGTGAAAAGTAACCAAAGTGACAGCTGTGGCACTTTGGACACAGACATTGCACGTGAATTTTCAAGTCAGTCAGACTAACGGATGTGTAGTTATAGCCCTTTTTATGTTTTTGTCCTATTATAGCACCACACAGTGGCCAGACTCTGTGATTTTTCTCATGTGACTCAGATTGAGGTCTTACATATACATATCGAGTTTGGTGTAAATATCTAATTCCGTTTAAACGTTATTGCCGTTTTAGGAAAAGTGGCCCCGTCTCTTTTGAACGTTTTGGCATCCCTTTGCGACAGTAAGTTGAGAACTCAAGGTTTTTTTTTTTATATAATTATTTGTTATTCACTCTCCAGAAAATTGTTCTGCTCTGGTTTCCAATCAGGCGAAAAACCTAGGATTAGTTCACAAAAGCAGGTTTTTCAAAAAATCCAAAATAGCCAAAAATTCCGATCAGGTGGCGATAAACAGCAACAGTAACATGGACACAAGAAATGGAGCAAAATTTTTCAGAAAAGATCATTACGCAAACAGCTTGCAGTGCTAATTTCTTCCTGACGTCCATTTTCAAATAAACAACTCCTGTTTCACTTGCACAGCGATCTGCCGACATTTAGTCGTGTAATCTGAACTAGGCTTAAAGGGATAGTTCACCCAAAATGAAAATGTTGTCATTAATTACTCACCCTCATGTTGTTCCAAACCCTTAAGACCTTCGTTCATCTTCGGAACACAAATTAAGATATTTGTGAAGGAATCTGAGAGCTCTCTGACCCTCCCAGCAAGGGTTTACGTTGTTTACGCTTTGATTTGAACGAAAACAACGTATCCGCGTGGCGCAGCTGACACAAAACAGGCAGCATACGCAATTTACGTTGAGTGCATACTCTCCAAAATGGCGCTAGGGTGATGCGGAGGAGACGAATTGTTGAATAAAGTCGTTTTTTTTATGGTTGAACCCCTGATGTCACATGGATTATTTTACCGATCTCCTTGCTATGTTTCTGGACCTCGATCGTGTAAGGACCCTTGCTGTCTATGGGAGGGTGAGAGAGCTCTCAGATTTCATCAAAAATATCTTAATTTGTGTTCCGAAGATAAACGGAGGTCTTACGGGTTTGGAATGACATGAGGGTGAGTAAATAATGACAGAATTTTCATTTTTGAGTGAACTATCCCTTTAAGACACTTGAGTTTGTGACAAGCGCTTTAGGAGTTATGAGCGATTTTTCGTACTTTTGATTGCTGTAGTGCCCCCATCAGGCCAATCGGGCCAAGCCTTGGTGAGGTTGTAGACAGGGTGGGTACTACCATCCCTCAAAGTTTTATGACTCTACACCTTACAGTTTGGTCTGCCTGATCACTTTTAAGTCAGAATGCTGATCTTTGAAAATCTTTCAGGGTTTCAGCGCTACGTGAACCCCTAATAATGCAGTAATGTATACTTTTGTCACCCTATCTAAGAATATTCTGTACTTATATAAAATGCAAAGAAAAAACAACAACAATGACAAGACATTTCACCTGGAAAGTAATTAAATTACATGGAAAAGACTTGTGTTTCTTAGGAGACGCAAGAAGGTGTGTAGTGACGCACTAAATTCAGGTAAATCTGCTTTACTGTTTATTATGTTCTTCCAACGCCCTCTTATTCGATTTGATTCTGTGAGTACTATTACACCATAATAATAAACAATAAACAAAAGAATGTGGAATGTGTGCGTCCACTCCTTTAAAGTAACCTAAAGTTCCCTCATATGAATCTGTGTCCTCATAGTTCTTAAAATCTGCTTTGAAGTGTACAGTGATGTATGTTTCTACAGTTCTACAAAGTTCTACATAGTATGAGTTCTACAAAGCATGATATGGTTTGAAACCTGATTTTTTAAGTTATATAGTTTCCCTTTCATGCATGGCATATACTACAGTGGACAGATATTTGGAAGCCATTTTGAACCATTTAAGTTGTAGCACCATGTCCCAACCACCAACTAGTCAACCTCCAAAGTGTTGTCTATGATTCCATTTAATTATTGTCTTTTTATCTCTTTTTTTGTTTTGAGACATTGCATAATACATTCAAAATGGCGGCAAGAAGAATAGATGCACCAAATACCTCAGGAATAGGTGTTAAATCCTTTTATTCTCAGAAAACCAGACAGATACAAAAAAATATTTTTCATCTAAATAAGATGTTAGAAATACCTTTATCCAGATTTTAACAATATTTTTCTTGTACATTTTTTTTCTGTGACAGAAAATACATCTGTCCACTCCACTGAATGTTATGTGCCAAAGGGTATATTGAGCCTATTGGGGATATAGATTCTGCCTTATTTTGTGTGTTTTATCAAAATGATGATATAATTTACACTTACACCGTTTTATAATACAGCAATATTAAATAGTTTTCAGATTTAATAATTTATTTCAATGCTTACAGTCTATATTTATTAGGTCATATAAAAGTGTAGGCATGTTCTATATGAGTTCAGGGATATGTGTGCATGATTGTGTTTGAGTGTGTGGTGGGAGGGTGTGTGTGTATTTGTGCTCACCTGTGTATGAATAGCCCACCATCACTCAAAATAAAATATACTGGGGAAAAAAGTTATTGGCATGATTTTTCACTTGCTTAAAACTAAAAACAAACATATGAAAATATTATTTTGTGATTTAATAATTCATGCATGAAAGGGTTAAATAATATAACGTGTATAATATTTCAATGTTTGGATATTTCAATGTTTAAAAACATTTCTACTGATGTTCTAGTGCTCTATGGAAACCACACCCGCTGCTAAACAAACGAGTGTTACACCACACACTTAACACAACACAACCACACCAAAGGATAACCTTTGAAAAGTAAATTAAGATTTTTTTGTAGTCTATGTTCAATAAACAGCTCTATAACTGAGTGTCATGGTATCAGCTTAAGGCAAATAAAGATAAAGAATATACATTTTGACTGGTCTTATATCGATCTGTAAAGGACATTAGCAATTAATAATTCACACCTTGATTTACACTTTTACAACAGTCTTAGTCACAGTATTTTAAACAGTATAGCATTTACCTTTAAACAGTCTCATACGAATTAAATAAATGGTTCTTCATGACTCTGAAAACTGTTTAATTGAAGATGGACTTTCTTTTAAATGTATACATTTTCACAGCAAGGTATTGTTTCTTATCTCCCCCCACTGCCTCTTTGTTTATGTTTAGACATCTATAAAAGGTGGAATTATTATCCTTTAAAAGTTATTTTCATATGAAAAATAAAGGCTGTTTTATAAAATGTTAATGAATGTATGTATTTATTTGAAAACAACAATAAATTTAAGGGATAATATATATACAAATGAATAAACAAACACAAAGAATGGATAAAATGCATATTGACAAGCACCCAGACTGGTGATGTAAGAGGTAGTCAAATGAAATCGTTTGGTATTCAAATGAATTATGTGACGGTAATCTTTGAAAGAATTGTTTAAAAAACGGGTAAAAAACTACAACTCCCGTAAGAGTCAAAAAGACCAGCCTTCTTTTACGACAGCAAAATTCTATTGGTTCGCGTCTGTTTGACTGACTCCACTCTAGCCAATCAGCTGTCTTCTGGATGAACGGAATGTGGGCCACTGACCGGCGTAATGCCAGCGCGAGAAAGTGCCACGACTCCACACAGACTCCTCAGAATCGACTGACTCCTCAAGCTGGGATAAGATTTTTTTTTTTTTTTAGTTTGTTTTTTTTGCTGGCGTGGTGAAGGCAGTTTGATTCGCGATAATCACTTCGGTTTAAACTCTTCCTGAAGTGATTCATCCAACGGAAATCTTCCGCGAGAAAAGGTGAGATTCAAAGCTTTTGTTATGGCGTTATTCATTAAAAGCCTAACAGATTTTCAGTAGCAATTAGCAGTAAACTTTGATCTCTCCCATTTATTTACTCCCCTCTTTAACTAGCTCGTAAGCCGAGTGGGTTGAAGACATCTTATTGTAGTTACGTAGCGAATAGCATGAGTATAATAAGTGGTTTCACATTTTGGCTTGGGTGATGCTCTGTTGTAGGCAGACAGTTAATACCAGCTTTTCTAGCAAAGAAACATGTGCATTTAATATCACATTTATAACAGCTTTAATGTTAATTATCCGAAATTTGTTTAAACACATCATTTTGGTAGTTCATTCGCGTTCCAAGTAACTTACAGCTGTAGAGTTCACAAACTCTCAGCCTTGATTTCGTATTGTAACGTTATGTAAATTGAACAGATAACTTGCCTTATGAATAGAATGTGGAACAAATACTGTTTCATCTAGTGTGATTCAACCTTTTAATTCAGTTTCATAGCAAATGTCGAGTCTCCCCCTTAATTTCCTATTGGCTCTTTAAATGGCTCCCAGTTGAAGTCATTACAAATGAACCATATATTAACTATTGATTATAACATCTTTAAATGTGTAAGACAGGAATTAACATAAATGTCACCTGTCACATTTTACAGGCATGATCATTGAAATTTCAGAGAGAAAATTTGTCCCCCCCCTTTAAACTTTAAACGAGCAGGTCTATAAGTGAATGTCAAGGTATAAGCATAATGCAAATAATCCTACAGTATAGAATATTTTTTAATCTAATATTGATTACGCCTTTTCATTCATTAGGTTTCCTGTATAATCTCTTTAATTGGCACCCAATCAAGTCATTATATATTCCAACACAAGAAAACATTGTCAAAGGCTATGGAAAAATAGAGCAGTTTATGCGCAAATCTGTTTACAAAAAAAACCTCTGTATTGTGCTCCTAAAGGTGTCTAGATAGTTCTTGCTTCTAGCATATGGTGAGTTCACAGCTTTTTTAGCAATGCATTTGTGCTTTGGTGCACATTTGAAGTGTGAGATTGGTATGGTATGAATCCTATGGAAGCAGCAGATTATAGAAATTTGCAGACAGCAAGCACATGGTGGAATGGAAAACTCTGTTGCATAACTCCTCTTTTACCGAACAGAGTGTTTGCATATTATATGGAAGAAGCTTTTCTTCAAAGTATATAGTAGAAATTGAGCACACTTGAGCATCTTTTCCTACTCAAGTTATGTTTTTTTTATTTTTTTTAAAGAATAAACAAAGTGTAAAGTTTGGAATTTTCTTTCTTATCTCGAAGTCAACATTCTAAAGCCAACTTTAATGTCCTTAGTAAAAAAAATTAAGTAAAGCAATAAATATTTATTTGATAAAGATAATCTTAAGTTAAGAGGGGCTTTACTGGGATGTTGTTAAAGCTTTTGGCGCCACTCTTGAGGTAAAAATCCTTAAGGTGGAACTTTAAACTGGTGGAATATATATAAAAAATATTATTGATATAAAAATGCACCAAACCTCACCCTTTTTGTCTTTTTAATCAGAAAGGAAACTAGCAGTCATGGACATCTATGATCCTCAGACCCTTGGAATTGTGGTGTTTGGTGGCTTCATGGTGTTCTCAGCCATTGGGATTGCTTTGGTCTCAACATTTTCCATGAAGGAGACCTCGTATGAAGAAGCTATAGCCAAGCAGAGGAAGGAGCAGGGGAAGACCCTATCCAGCCAACGATCAGATAAAAAGAAAAAGGACAAGGCAGCTGAGAAGAAAAATCGTGCTAAGAAAAAGGAAGATAAGCCCAATGGAAAGCTCCTGGACTCAGAGGCCAATCCTGAGGTTTCAGAAGTGCCAGCTGAGCCCAGTCCTTCAACTCCTCCAGGCCCAGAACAAGTTGCTGCACCAGCACCTAAACTAGAAGTCCCAGCTCAGAAGTCTCCCCATCCCACCCCTGCTCACAAGCCCGCTTCACCTGCCCTGGCTCAGAAGTCAGCTCCACCTGCTCCAGCCCAGAAATCTGTTTCACCTACCCAAAAGTCTACTCCAGCTCCTCCTGCCCAGAAATCTGCTTCACCTCCTCCTACCCAGAAATCTTCACCTGCCCCAGCCCAAAAGTCTGCTACAGCTGCCCCTGCTCAAAAGTCTGCTTCAAATGCCCAGATTGCCCAGAAAGCCACTCCAACTGCCCCAGACCAGAAAGCAGGTCCACCTGCCCCAGACCAGAAAGCCACTCCAACTGCCTCAGCCCAGAAAGCAGGTCCACCTGCCCCAGACCAGAAAGCCACTCCACCTTCCTCTGCCCAGAAATCTGCTCCACCGGCCCCCGCACAAAAATCTGCCCAAACTCAAAAATCTGCTTCATCTGCCCCAACACAGAAATCCTCTCAACCTGCCCCATCCCAAAAGTCTGCTTCAAATGACCCGACCCAGAAAGCTGCCTCACTATCCCCAGCCCAGAAGTCCTCTCCACCTGACCGAAAACCCAGTCCACCTGCCCCGGCCCCTTTGCAAAAGGCTGCTACAAGTACTACCCCTCCTGCATCCCATCCTGCTCCTGAAGATGCTCCACCCGCCCCATCTCCTAAGGATAAGAGGAAGAAGAAAGCCAAAGCAGAGTCTGCTTCAGCTGAGGTTCAGCCCAAATCTGTGGCTCCATTGGAGATGGTGACCAAAAAGGTTCCCGTCATGGCAGTGCCTCCAGTGGGTACTTCGAAAGCTGCTTCAGCAACTGCTGTGCCGGCCAAAGCAGAAGAGCCCAAACAAAAAGCTCCAACCAAGAAGAAAGGAGGATCTAAGAAGAAGTCAGAGACAGGTATGCTGTTATCTCCACAAAACCACTTATATTAAGTGGATTCCTCCTCCTGTTTCTCTTTGCAACTGTACATTTTTAGACATTTCACTTAATTGGTATAATAATTAACAGTAATATTATTATTATTATTGTTAATAATAGTTGTTTTCAGTAGTAGTCAGTAAGATGCACTAAGACATCATCAAACCTTAGGAGTCGTAGTTGTTCTGTTATTCTATTTCCTATTCCTCCAGCTTTCCATTCTTACCTTTCTTTTGCTACATTGAAGGACTAACAGGTGCCGCTGAAAATGAATGCTTACATTTAAAATCTGTATGGGCACTAAACTACAGCTCAAAGACTCTTTAATGCTTTAACCTAGTTATTATATTAGGTTAACATATTAATTTTGAATGATCATTTGCCATTTTTTTCATGTTTGTCTGATCCATGACAAATGATTGTTGTGCACTCTGCACACGTGGAGCTTGAATTTGAGTGCCAATGTTTTTCTCTCATTCGTCCATTCTTTGTTTGTATGTATTATCTTTAATATCTTTATTATATATTAATAAAGATTAATATTTAAAATGTATTTATATATTTTATATTTATAAATACTTATTAACAATATTTCATATTTATTTATTATATTATATTGTATTTATATATTTTTTAGCATATATATATATATATATATATATATACAGGTGCATCTCAATAAATTAGAATGTCGTGGAAAAGTT